GTCGTGTGACCCAGCCGGTGGGTGCCACAGCATTCCCGAGGCCACCCGGGGCCCGGCTGCGTCCCGCCCCACGCAGGCAGGAGCGCGGGCTGCTGGAACGGGCATCCTGGTAAGCAGGTGTGATCCAAGGCGTGGGCGTGATGAAGCGAGTACGGGTTGAGCCTGAGGTCGGGGCAGCGATGAGGAGTGTCTGTCACCTCCCTGTCCAGAGGGGGGTGCAGGAGCCGGCTGTAGCTGCAGGGGCTGTCACTGACGGACAGCGCCGACATCCTCTGCAGGAAGGGCTGGTCTCGCAGCCGCTGGTCCAGCCATAGGTCCGAGCTGGAGACAGCGGCCCAGGAGCCGTCCGGCTGTTCAGCACAGCTCACCTGGGGCCACCCCGGTGTGCAGGAGGGCCCTGCACAGCCGCAGGCTCCCGGCAGCTCCCCCGGGCGGGCGTCGGGCAGCGCTCCGGGCCCGCGGGCTGAGCGGGTGCGCGGCTCCTCCTCTCTCCCCAGCCCGAACGGGGCCTTTATTTTGGCCCTGAGCTCATCAGCAACCGAGAGCTGAGCTTGGTGTGCCCTCTCCTGGTGGTAAAACTTGCATTTATTGCCGTAGGTGCATTTCTTACCTGAAAGAACAAAAAGGTCCAACAGGAGGGTGTCACTGGCGCCCACGTGGATGCCCCTGCTCATCGCTCCTCCCCAGCCCTCGAGTTTGAAGGGGCGTGGTGAGCACGGGCAGCAAAGAGGGGGAGTGCCCTTTTCCAGTTCTGTACTTCTGACCCCAAATTTAAATAGTGCCGACCTAAATAGCAGGGTGAAGCAGCAGTGAAAGGAAGTTTCTGCTATTTTGGAAGTGCCTGAAATTAATGTATGTTCCAGTTGCTGCACTCAGTGGGCTGGGAGACCTGCTGCTGCAAGGGGCTGCTTTGGAAAATGGCATAGGGAGTAACTTCCAGTGGTAACCACTGGGAAACCTCCACGTTACTGGGAAGTGAGTGGATGGCCTTTCCCAAGTGCTGCAATGCAAGTCCACTCTGCAGAGTGAAGTGTGTGCAGGCTGGTAGGTCAGCATAGCCAGAGTGTATGGGTTGGGTGCTGTGTGCAGGTGAGGATGGAGAAGGCAGGAACAGCTGCTGCCTCTGCTGAGACTGAAGCCACTTAAGCAGAAGAGGAGAAGATGTGTCATCACACATCTGAGCAGCCCTGGCCCAAGTCCCTACCACAAAAAGTGTGACAGAACATGGCAGTGGTGCCTGCCCTTAGCTGAAGGAAAGCACTTCTGGGAAGCAAGGGGTGGGAGGAAGAAGGGTGACAGTTCACAGCATGGAGAGAAACCCACCATAGGGACAAGGCTGCCACTTTGGTTCAGGAAGCACTGGCTTTTTGCTGAGGAAGTTAGTAAGAGTGGGTCCATGCCGGCCTAATGGATCATCAGGAGGCATAAACCTGAAAGAGGAAAGTCACAAGGGTAACAAGAATACCTTGAACTTCTGGGGCTAAAGTGCCATCAGCACTTGAGGCACAAGCTTAGGGCAGAAAATTGTTGCAGTAATGGACTGCAGCTTCGAGGAATAGACCCTGCTGATGTTCACTGACTGCATTTCTGTGAACAATGTTGCAGGGAAACTGAAACCCAGTGCCAAGCAATCCCATCCAGTTTTGGTGGTGGGAGACCCATGCCTCCATCCTGACCCATGGAGAATGTTGCTGTGTGAGCCCATCTTCTCCGCTCTCACTGGTCCATAAGCGCTGGATGTCTCCAGGTGCGTTTTCCTTCCCAGACTAGTGGCTGACAAGGAAACTGCCAGGAGGCTCAGGCAAGGCTGGTGTGTACAGACTGTGGACTACAGCTCTGCCTCACATGATGCAAGTGCCTGAATGAAAACCTTCCCTAATGGGAATGGTTGAGGGCCAGAGAGACCAGGGCCCTGTCTGTCTTCTAGGAAGTTATGGTTACAAAAGCATAGGAAAAAGTGCTGTTCTGCCTTGTAGGGGAATTAAAAATACAGCAAGGTAGCCATCCTCCTCTCACAGATTTAATTCTGTTTCTTATAAGAAACAGAAATTACAAGACACAAGCCTTGATTTAACATCCCAGTTTGGATTGGAAAGAAGCAAAGCTGGTCACTAATGATGCCATTCAAATAAAGAGGAGTTACACGGGGGGTTAAGACCAAAGGTGAGGGAACAGGAATTGTAGAATCATAAAATCATAGAATGTCTTGAGTTGGAACTCTAAAGGTCATCTAGTCCAACCTTCCCTACAATAAAAGCAGGGACATTTCACACTAGAACAGATTGCTCAGAGCGCCATAAGCCTGAACTTGAATGTCTCCAGGTATGGGGCCCCCACCACTTCTCTAAGCAACCTGTTCCAGTGATCAACCATCCTCATTGTAAAGAACTTTTTCCTAATGTCTGACCTAAATCTACCCTTCTCTACCTTTAAACGCATTACCCCTTGCCCTATCATTACATGCCCTTGTGAACAGATCTTCCCCAGCCTTCTTACAGGCTCCTTTCAGGTTTTGGAAGGCCGCTATAAGGTGCCACAGAGTCTTTTCTTCAGGCTGAACAACCCCAACTCCCTCAGCCTGTCCTCATAAGAGAGCTGCACCAGCCCTTAGATCATTTTCATTGCCCTCCTCTGGACACACTCCAACAGGTGTGCATCCTTGTTATACTGGGGGCACCAGAGCTGGCTGCAGTACTCCAGGTGAGGTCTCACCAGGGCAGAGCAGAAGGGCAGAATCACCTCTCTTGATCTGCTGACCACACTTCTTTTGATACAGCACAGGATGCCGTTGGTCTCCTGGGCTGCAAATGCACATTGGTGGCTTGTGTCCGGCTTTTCATCTGATAGTACCCCCAGGTCCTTTTCCACAGGGCTACCCTCAAGTGTGACCTCCCCCAGCCTGTATTTGTATCTTGGGTTATCTTGGCCCAGGTGCAGGACCCTGTACTTGGCCTTGTTGAACCTCATGAGCTTCACCTGGGTCCACTTCTCCAGCTTATCCAGGTCCCTCTGGATGGCATCCCATCCCTCTGGCATATTGACTGCACCACCCAGCTTCATGTCATCAGCAAACTTGCTGAGGTTGCTCTCAATGCCACTGTCAATATTGTTAATTAAGATATTTGAGGTAAATTCCCTTCAGAAGAAGACTTGGGTGCTCTGCTACCAGTGAGAGGTACGTGGATGTTGGAGCTGGCTTGGCCCATAATGTTCAAATTCAAGGTTGTTTAATAGCAACTGTCTCTTACCTGTTACTGACAAAAGAATACATGAGTAGTCGCTGCTCAATAAACCATTTCCACTCTGGGTTTTCGTTCTGGAGATCCCGGTAATGGTCATTGGAAACAATGACTCCATCTTTCTCATAAGCCACCTTCACTATGTAGCGATCATCGTAGCAAACCACCCTCTTGCCTTTCACCTTCCGGGATGGGGTGTACACAAGGATGGATTGCTTTTCCAGCTCTTCAAGAATGTGCTGGTCTGGAGGGAGGAGGGTGTAGTTGGCAGACATAAAAGGGGGAAAAAAAATTACAAAGAGAAACTAATTAATTAATAATGATCAGGTCTGAATTGTGCTAGAAACCTGCAGGAATCTCAAGATGTCTCAGCACCTTAAGCAACTTAGAGTGGTGTGATTTTCAGACACGCTGATATCTCGTGGTTATTTGGCAACTTGAAAACTAGGGCTTTTGCAAAAGCATCTACTTGTGAAATCTCAGACACTCCTTTTTCATTTTTAACTCTCTTATCTGTAAAAGGATGGTTTGAATTCTACACCAGAGATATGCTGAACCCCTGTAGTTCCCCTTTTTACCTTAGTAGATGCTAGAAGGCTCATAACCAGCCTGACATCAGATAAAATGTGGCTGGTAAAATAAATACATTAATTTTGCTGCTATTAAGAACACTCTGACTTCTTATCCTCCCTGCTATGCAGAAACACAGAACCCCAGCTGCCTCATCTGCAGCCACCAAGCTGCTGGCACAAAGCTGGCAGGTCTGTGTCTATACAAAGTAAATCTTGCTGCCCTCCACGGACTTCAGCTGGTGCATTTCCTTCTCCTGGTAGAGGAACCCATGTAGCTCCTCTGTCGGGGTAACAGACTAATAGAGAATAGTCACACATAGTGAATGCATCGAATGCTGCTGCCTCTGGGTAACATGTGCAATGATGTCGTGGTCTCCTGGCAGGGCTTCAAAGCTCTGCAGACTGGTTGTGAGCTGACAGACTCACTCTTCTTTAACTCAGCTGGCAGCAACTTGTGATTGTAAAGCTGAAGGCTCAAAGCAGTGCAACAAAGCCTTGTATGCCCTTTTAGCTGCTGGCCAAGAGGTTGTGGCAATAAGTTAATGATTTAAGAATAGAAGACTGATACAGAACTTGCACCATGCTTGGCTTTTCAGGGCAAAGACGTACTAGACTATTCACACCCTTGTCTCCAAACTGCACCTAGTCATTGCCAAATTATGCCTGGGATGGTTACCTACCAGCAATGGGACTGTCTTGTCGAGGGGGCTCCTTTCTCCAGAGTGGGACAATAACTTTGATGTATGTGTGCCCCCTTTCTCGAAACCAATCCACTGCCAGCTGGATCCCCCAGCAGGAGAATACCTCTTTGTTCCCATGGCTATAAAAAGAAAAAGGAGGATGATGAAGCAGAGCTTTCAGGAAGCTTCCAGTTCTCTTTAACTGAGTCAGTAATGAAACAGCAAAACAAACAACTTTTGTGTCATTCGTCAGTCTCCAAGAAAACAACTTGGCAGGATGTCCTGGTTGGACAGATCCAAATACCTCCTTCAGCAGAACCAGGAACTTTTTTTGATACTTAAAAACAGAGGTATCCTATATACTATTTCTATGATCTGTCTGCTGCCCAAGCCTGTTGCTTTCATTGATATCTGAATGGACTTTGGTCTTCAAGTACCTACAAGATCTTAGGCTGTGTCAGACCCTTCTCATGCATTGTCTGATAAGGGTTTGAGGAATGAGAGGGGTTTTTTCCGGCAGGAGAAACAGACAAGGCTCTTCTATGAGAAATAAAATGTGGGAATTTTCTTTTGTGGTAACAATGACATTAGGGATTTTAATAATAGAATCACAGAATGGTAGGCGTTGGAAGAGACCTCTGGAGATCATAGAGTCCAAACCCCCTGCCAGAGCAGGACCACCTAGGGAAGGCCACACAGGAACACATCCAGGTGGGTCTTGAAAGCATCCAGAGAAGGAGACTTCACAACCTCTCTGGGCAGCCTGTTCCAGTGCTCTGTAACCCTTACAGTAAAGAAGCTCTTCCTCATGTTGAGGTGGAACTTCCTGTGTTCCAGTTTGCGTCCATTGCCCCTCGTCCTATCACAGGGCACAACTGAAAAGAGATTGGCCCCTTCTTCTTGACACCCACTCTTCAGATATTTATATACATTAATAAGATCCCCTCTCAGTCTTCTCTAGGCTAAACTGCCCCAGGTCTCTCAGCCTTTACTCATAAGGCAGGTGTTCCAATCCCTTTGCCATCCCATAGCCCTCCACTGGACTCTCTCTAGTAAATCCCTGTTCCTCTTGAAGTGGAGAGCCCAGAACTGGACACAATACTCCAGATGTGGTCTCACTAGGGATGGGTGTGAGTGTGATCACAGGTCATTCTGCTAATAATCTCTTTAGGAAACAGAGACTGGAAACAGGAACTCTAAGAGGCAGGATGAGGAATACATAGAACCTAACCCAGGACACCAAAAGAAAGGGACAAATCCTCAGTAAAGACGGCCACAGGCAACTCAGGTCCATTTTTATCTTGCTCTAGTTGGTGGATTTTTTCTTCTTTGCACAGACAGGTAGGAAAACCCTAGCACACACACTGTAGCAGACACAGGCAAGGAGGGTGCTGGAGAATTGTTCAAAGCAAGACACAAAACAACCTCAAGAAAAACAACTAGAGGTGATATCCTTCCTGAGTTTCTCCCTCCCCTATTGGAAGTTCTTACTGCATGTTATTCCCTTATCTCAAACTTGACTACAGTGCAGAGCATGTGTAACGGAAGGTAATTTGTTAATTACCTCTGCACAAGGAAAGAAAAATAAACGCAACATAAAGTCCTAAAATGGATTAATGCCCTCACAGTATCTACAGAAACTTCATCCTTGTACTTTGAGCTTTCTGGATAACATCACCACAGTCTTACTCAGGCTTTCACCTCTGCAAAACATGTTCTCGGTTACTACACTTACCTGCAGTGACAGACCAGTCAAGGACAAGGACACAGTTTTATCCACCTTTCATCCCACAGGAATTCAAGTCTAGGTTCTGCCTATAACAGCCTCATAATCAAAGCTACATCTTACACCCAATACAAGTTTCAGTGCTGAAATAGTGACCATAGATGAAGAACAGTGCAGTTTGGAGGAAGAAACCCAGTTGTTTGTTGATAGCTACCCAGGCAGTAAGAAGTCTTTAAAAAAAAACAACAACCCACCCAATAAATGGTCTGAGTGCTCCACTCTAGAGGAGCTGTTTTGTTTGGTTATAAAGGATATAACCAGGATAGGAATTAAGTCACCTGGACAGGTAAATTGGAATGCAAGTGACTTTTTCAGATAATTGCCTTTAAAAGGCAGTCCAAGTACATCTTTAATACCACAACTCAAACAAAGTTCAACAACCTCCTGCTTTAACATTTACTACTTACATATCTATAACCTTGTCAGATTTAGGAAATTAATTCTGGGCATATCCCCTGTGCAGAAGGTAAAGCACTCAAGCAGACGTGATTTGGCTGAAAGACCAAGCAGAACAAGTGAGAAGAGGCTCCTGAAATTGTTTCTCAGCATTAGCACTTAATCCAGTTGCTCTGCATTGCTGCAACCAGACCTGGGGAAGGTGTAACTAAACCAGTGTGGACCTGCACAGTGCCTGGCAGTGTTGACACAATGGAGCCCCAGGCAGGGGCTTCAATACTGTTCATTCTCCCTGTGTGGTGAGTGTGTGTCACCTGCCAACAGACTGGCTCCTGTCAGTCACCATTCCCACATGGTCCTGTAGTCCATGGACCATCACCAATCTGCTGCAGTGCAGTCCCATCTCTCTCCCTCTGCCAGCAACAATGCACATCGCCCTGGGGACACAGATTAGCAGGGCCCATCTCTCAGAAACTGAAGCTGCCGTTTGGCCTCACTGTAACTCTGGCAATTATTCCGTATTTAGCACACAGTGGTTCCTTTTTAAATTGGGGAATTCTAACCCCTTTGAGAAGTTCAGACAAAAGAACTCCTTTTGCAAATTGTGGATAGCCCCATCTCCACCTGGTGGTGCCACATCATCAGCTTTGTGGGTTGGTGCACTGGGATGATCTCAGAGCTTTCCCAGAGTACTCCAAGTTCAAAACATGCACTATCTCTTCCAATCTAGTCTGGGCCTCCTGCTCAGTGACAAGGCTGCATCTTCTGCCATCTTGGAAAGCACAGTGTTCTCTGCCTTGTCCATTGCTGCCTGTTCTGAAAAAGCCCTGGGAATTTGGTGAGGACGAGGTTGTGCCAGGAGACTGGAGCACATGGCTAGTCAAGGGTAGCATTGCCCCTAACACAGTGGAAGGGCAGGGGCTCAGCCTGCGTGGCTGGGTGCTCACAGAGAGGCAGGAAGGACACCTTAAGGATGGTCTAGGGTTAAAATACTAATGGAGGCAGGAGATCCTTACACCTGCCTACCAAGGTTATGGTCCAGCCAAGGCTGTGATGTTGTGCATTTCTCACACCTCATGAGCTGCCCTAACCAAAGAGCCCCTCATTTTTTGATGGGATTTCTCCCTTCATCCAGAAGATGGCATGATTTGCTTAGTCTCCGGTTGCTCTGTCTGTGCTTGGTCTCTTTGCTTTATAAGCAGAGATGTGGTCTAGTCTCACAGCAAAGCTAGCAAAGGAGGAAGCCCCCCACGGGGAAGGGCCATGCTGAGCAGAAAGGGAAGTTAACAGGGAAAACCCGTGGATAGCCAGCTCATCCTGGACCCTCAGCTGCCAGCACCTGTGGCCATTTGTGTTGCTCAGGTAACCAGAGGCCAGCCCACCACTGTCTTTGGACTTCCCATCCACATGGATGTGCCGGGTTTTCACAGTGTCAGGGCACTGCTTAGGAGAGGTAACTGGCCAGGATGAGGTGCTATCACATTTCCAAAAACAGAATTAATTAAGGAGGAAATGAGACTATTCGGCCAATGATTATTTAATTCCATGGCATTTCCATAGAAATGAAGCCAAACAAATCAACAAAAATATATAATCTGGAAACATTGTTGGAGTTTACTTGCCATTCAAAACAGTACAACTGTGTTGTTGTTAGGAAACACAGTCACCCAGCTTCATTTTCCCTCTACTTCTTAGGTTAGTTGGGCTGTTCTATGTGTTTATCAGTTTTTCCTAGAAACACCTCAGCATAGAGATTAAAAAATCCTAGGTACCCATTTGAAAAGGCAGGGAAACGTCAGCACTGAGCTAGCAGGGAGAGTGAGCTGCTGAATCACCCTGCCCTGAGCAGCAGTGCTGAGCTGGCTGCTGGCTTCTGACAGGTCAGCATGCAGAGCAAGCCAGTGATTGCATCTGGCGTGCGTGGTTATGGGCACAGCAGGTCCCCAGAAGCTGCACCTCAGCCAAAGGGCAGGACTGAGCAGGGGTTCATACCTTACACATCAAGGCACCCCTCACCTGGAGAAAAAGGGTCCTTCAAGCCATCAGCTTTAAAATTCAAAAGCTTCAGAGGAAGAGAAAGCCCATTTTAGGAAACAGAACTTACCTCATTGCAACATTGCTGCCATCAATCACAATGGGTCTGAAGTGATCAGAAGAATCACTGTCATCTTCTCCAAGCCACTTTGACCCTGGCGTAGTGCTGCATGACCCACGGGCAACAAGTTGTAGTGTGGAAGGCTGAGCCTGGCTCTCCAGAGCTTGAGGTTTGCTCCCCATCCGAATCAGCTCTTTCAGCACATCATCCTCCAGGGCCTCCTGGCCGAGGTTGTCCAGCACTTTGCAGATGTCCTGCTTACCATAGCCCAGCTTGCAGAAAAAATCCAGCTTGCTCTGGTGCACGTCCACCCCTGCTGTAGAAACGTCTCTGGAGCATGGTGATACTGGTTTGTTGGAAACTGAACTGGCCAGAGCCATCTCAGCAGGCATTTATGTTCCTCTAAAATTGCTCCTGTCTTCCCAGCTTCGTCCAACAGGCATCAGCTTTAAGTGGAGAAAAGATTAGAAACAACAAAACACAAGCATGAAGAAAGAACCTGCAGTCTCCGTTATTTGCCTAGTGCACAGCAAAGAGACTCCCTGGTCTGCTGCCTTCTCTCTGAAAAGACTGTCCACTCTTCTCTCAGCCTGAAGCATTTGCTGGTCCACTCTTGTTTATAAGAGCACTGGAGTGTCCCATGCAATGTTTGTCACTCTCCAGGAGTTAGGTCAGACAGGTGTCACCCTCCTTCATGAGCTGTGCAAGCCTCTCTGCACAGTGACAGACACGCTGTCTGCGTAAGCTTGTTCTTCAGCCTTATCTCACAGGAAATGATATAAAGGACGGTGTAACTGGGGATTTTCAGTTTGCTAAGTGTGGTTTGTGAGCCGCAGATAAATATCTTTTGAATGTTGTTGGATGAGCTCAGGTACCATAGCAACTTCACAACCATAGCAAGTTTCATCGAGTGATTTAAGGAAATAAGTTGTTTGCAAAGTAGCTGGGAACTCTGAACTATTTTCTGTAGTTTTGTCTTCCCTAGTGTGTGTCTGTCTGTGCATACACAGCCATGCCTTCTGACATGCTGTCACTCATCTCTTCCACTTACTCTTTTCCTGTTATTTGCTGTTTCAGTGAGGACTTTTATACTCAGAGAAGCAGCCTGGTTTTTGAAAGCTGTTGGGGCAGCGTTTGGAAGCCTGCAATCTGAAAAGCAGTTTCCATTCTATTTATTTTAAAGAGAGACTGGTAATTCAGAACTCAGTGTGTAGAAGTAGCAGAAAGCTACTCCAAGCTTCTCCAGAACTGTGCTATTTCTAGCATACTCAGTAAATGAAGGTGATGGGCAGCATGTGCTGGCATACCCAGAGCTGCTTCAGCCCGAGAAGCGTGACATGGGGCGTTACAGGACATCCAGGGTGTCCTGTGTGTCACAGGACATCCAGGGTGACCACTCATGCGTCAAGCCGAGCACCTTCTGACACTGTTGACATACTTGCACTGAAGCTTCTCTCACCACATCTCTGCAAGATTCGTGCTGCCTGGATAAAAGCTGTGGCTGGATATCTGCCCACACGTAGGATGTAAGGGTGGCCCTCTTCCTTTCACTAGCTGCAGTCAGCAAATGACGTAGAATTAACTGACCAAACAACCACCTCCAGGACCAGCCCAGAGCCATAACCACATTGCACCCACACTCCCAGCCTGCCCTGCATGCTGCTGGCCCACCAGCTACTCCTTGCCCAGCAATGGGGCAGGAGCTCAGAAGCCAAAACCACTTGGAGGACAACACAGAGGGACTGGAGACAGGGAGATGAGAGGAGCCTGAGATCAGCTCTCCCAAGGCATTAGAAACCCCATGGGCTGTGGGGGTGAAATGTGCATTGGGTGCACTGATTAGTTCAGCAG